ATGTGTGCTACATGCCCCACCCACCTTATCCTCTTTGATTTAATCACCCTAACAATATCAGGTGAGGAGTATAGACTGTGAAGTTCATCATTATGCAGTTTTCTCCCTGAACCGTCTTTCTCCATTTTAGGCCCAAATATCTTCCTCAACACTGTTCTCAAAAACCCCCAGTCTGTTTTCATCTTTTAAAGTGAGAGACCAAGTTTTGCACCCGTACAACACAACTGGCAAAATTATCTTAACCTTTATTTTCTTCGATATGAGATGGGAGGACAAATTTTGGACTGAATGATATTAAGCATTCCCTGAATTTAATCTGCTCTTGATTTTGTCATGATTGTCATTCTGACCTGTTAGTGTCATGCCCAAGTACTTGAATTTTGTCACATTTCATACTGATTCAATAGCTATCCTTATATTCTGGATCTGTCCTGAATTCTGATGGTGAGACCTGACCATATTTTTTTTTCCTGCATTTATTTCTAGATAAACACCAGTAGATTAATATCATTAGTATAGACCATCAGCTGATGTGTCCTATTTGTTTTCAGACTTCCCTGATGTTCTTGGACTTGCCTGATGGCATATTCTAAGGCAAAATTGAAAAGCAGTGGTGATAGAGCATCTTCTTGTTTGAGGACATTCTGAAAATAAGCAAAATTTTGACACAGAAGGAATTGATTTGAAAAAGTTTGAAAGTTAAAATTTTGAATAGGTTTCAAACTTCATAGACAGATAAAGGTAACAAAAGTGTGGTTATAAACAAGGCGTGGGGAAATGTCAGAGACTAACAAAATTTCATCCAAAGAGACATTAGGATAGTACAGGAGAAAGCAAAATAAACCATGGTTTAATGAATAATGTTCATAATTAATAGATGTAAGGAAGCAAACAATTAATGCTGATGTTAACTTATCGGGTGATTATATAAATACAATGAAGAGGGCCACAGAAGTTTTCCTAGAAGCTAGTAGAAAGGTGGGGCTAGAAGTAAATTCAGAAGAAAACTAAGTACATGTTAGTATCTTGTCAGCAGACTGGTGGCCAAATCATATTAGGGTGGCTAATAAATCCTTTGAAAGTGTGATGAAGTTTAAATATTTGGGAACAACAATAACAAATCAAAATGATACGAGGAAGTTAGGAGGAGACTGAATTCTGGAAATGCTTGCTACTTTTCAGTCCAAAATATTTTGTCTTGTCAGATTTCTAAGAATGTAAAGATTGAAATGTACAGAACAATAATTTTGTCTGTTTTGTATGGGTTTGAAACATAGTTTGTCACTCTCAGGGAGGAACATAGATTACAGGTGTTTGAGAATAGGGCATTGAGGAGGATATTTGGGCCTAGGAGAGAAGAGGATGGGGTATGGAGAAAACTGTATAATAATGAGCTTAAGAATTTATACCCCTCCCACAATATTGTCAGGGTGATTAATTCAAGAAGAATAAGGTGGGTGGGGCTAGAGGTGTTCAGTATATATTGGCCGGGAAGGCTGAAGGGAAGAGACTGCTGCAGGCAATTGAATTTTGTTGGCCCAAGACAGGGACTGGTGGAGGGCTTTGGTTAATTTGGTGATGAACCTTTGGGTTCCCTAAGCCAACCAGTTAGTTTAGTTAGTTAATAGATTCTTTGTGCTGATGTTGTATGTCCTTATTCCTTATAGAATGAAGAAATTTGTGTATTTGTAGAATAAAGTGTTCACTTTCTGCTTTGATCAGTTTGGCTGGAATCTGATCTGATCAGAGATTTATGCCATTTAAACTTCTCAATAACAGTTTTGACTTTGACATGGCTAGGGTCAGGCACTAATGGCCCAGCCATATGTTTATCTATCTGTATAATGTCATGAACTTCATGTACATTTATCACCTGATTAAAGAATTGTTTCTGCCTATGCAAAACCCTTTGGGGATGTGAAAGCAGATAACCATATTTATCCTTGATAGTGTTAACTCTAGGTTGGTAGCTGTTCTTAAATGTATTTTGGCCACTGTGTAAAACTCTACTAATTTTGTTTCTGTAATTGCTTTTGAATTCATTAATTTTGTCTTTTAGGTATTACCTAGTCTTCTTTCTAACTGTTCTACTGGTTTTGCATCTTAAACTTTGCAGACTATCTCTTTTGTCAATTAAACATGATCTATCTGTTTATGTGTGACACCATTAGGAGAAGTCCAATTATGTTTATGAATGTCATAGTGTGGAAATTTTGTGCTCTGGACATTTAGATTTTTGGGGTTGCAAAATTTACTACTGTGACCCCATTATCATTACTAACTTCATGTAGACTTTTCTTATCAATAATCAGTTTAAAAATGCTGTCCCTCCCTACCTTTCCATTGAAATCTCCTAGAAAATTTTCATATGGTACCTAGGGAACTGGTCAAAAACCTGTTCTCATTCTTTGTAGAAGTTTTCCTTTTTGTCATCATCTTTATCCTTAGCTGGGGCATGTACATTCTGTACAATGGTATTGCACCAGTGACCGTTTACAATTACATATGAAATCCTGCCACTAACAAACTACTGTTTTAACAACTGAAATAATCCTATTTTGTACGAAAAATTCTGCACCTAAGTGGTGATTAATACTTTTTTTTATAGAAAAGTGTATAATATTCTGCTGTTTGATATCCCTCCCCTTCCCACCTAACCTCTTGTACTCTCACTAAATATAACTTGTATTTCTCTAACTCCCCCATTACTGACTTTTTTAAATTTACCCTGTAGAGACTCTAATATTTGAAGTGCCAAATCTTATGTCCTTTGTATATTGCTTAGGTCATGCAAAGAATCAGAACACAAGAACACAATAATAAATATAGAATGGTAATAATGGATTATCAAAAAATTACATGAGTGTAGACATTAGTACATAAAGGCAGTTTGCTACTGAATACATTAATATCTTTGTAATGATAATTAAATTAAGTCAGTTAGATTGCAAGGAGATGAAAGTATATGAAACAAACAAGGTACTAAATCAGATTAATTATAAACTTAGAGGGAAGGGAAAAAGATAATATAAATTTATGTTGAATGTAATTAATATCTTATATAGTGATTGTGTCCCGCGCCATAGCCGCGCGGTCTGAGGCATCATGCTTCGGACCGGCGATACAGAAAGCGCTGGTTTGAGTCTCAGGGGAGAAGAAATTTTCTCATGAACTTTTGTCCAGTGTATGGGACCGGTGCCAACCCAGTATCGTGAGGAAATTGGGGAGCTACAATGAGTGGTGTAATCCAGTCAGGAAAGCTAGCAATTATTGGGGGTTTGTCGTGCTGACCACACGTCACCCTATATCTGGTTGGATGATCGTTCACCTCTGCTTAGGCATGTGAACGTGAGACCAGCAGTCAAGCTAGTCGGCTTTGGCTCTGTGGAGCTGTTACGCCACGGATTTAATTTTAATTTAATTTTATAGTGATAGTAACACAGTTATTGTAGAATATTAATAAGCTAGCTTTTCTTAAATAATTTGAAACTATTGCAGGTGTAACAGTATCCAATGTCTAATATTATCATCCACTCCTCATTCTCATTTATGAAGCAGTTGCAATTCTAAAAATTGTCTGAACTAGCCTTTAAATCTTTTAATTACACCCATGTCCATCGGCTGTAAAGTGGAAGTTGCATTAGCAGTAAAAAAACATTTTATGTTTAGTTACTTCTCAGTTATGAGTGGCAGTTTCTAAAGTGGCCAGGCTTTCCATTACTGCAGCTGTAGTCTTGTGTTCTAATTGCATTGCAAATTGTTCTGTCGGAATCTTAACAATGGGATTGTTAAAGTGAAGCTTTCATGGTGACTGAAGTTGATGAAAGACTCAGGTTACAAGCTGTGTCAGGTAGCTGAGAGGTGAATAAACCATATCTTCTGCCAATGTTTTGGTGAGCGTGCTACAAAGGATCAGATTTGTTACGCAGCAGCCCTGAGGATGAGAGCAGAGATTGTTCTCAAAATGGCAGAAGATATGATTTGTTCACCACTCAGCCACCTGACACGGCTTGTAACCTGAGAGTCTTTCATCAGTGGGATTGTTGTTTGGAAACGGATAACCCTCTGCACCTTAAACCATTCCAGTAATGCTCTGTCAGTATCATCAAACCAACATTTTCTTGTCTTTTTTGTTTGTAGAGACATTCTTCTCAAACACAGATAAAATTTTCTCTTTGTTCTTCCCCAAAGTCACAACTGTAGATGATGGTAAGTTGAATTTTTTACTCACATTTTTTTCACCCCATTCTAACTCATGAATAATTTCATCATTTTCATACACAGACAGACAGTTTCTCTTGTTTACAGATTTATTGGTCATTGAAGGGTAAAATCTTTACTGTTTATGGGTTACCAGCGAGGCTAATTTAGCGGGCTAGCCACAACAAACCCCAACCCTAACAGTATAGGTGCAGGTTAACTGACCTGTGCTGTACCATTGAGAATGTGAACAATTGAAAAGGTGTCACAATGCAAAGAGCTAAATCTTTTCCCCCAGACAAACAATGTTCATTATGAAGATTTGCATTGTACTTCAGATCCTTTCAGACAAGTTACTTCCACATGACTTGTTCCTTCCCTTTAATCTCATTTTTTAGGACCAACCGGGTTTTTGTAGCAGTAATATCCTACATTTGTATTTATATTTATTTTGAAGACATTCAAAACAATGTGTTGGTAGTACTAAAAGAATTTTTGGAAAGTGATTTACACCAATATTTCCAGGCATGACAAGGAGATTGGTGCATATAAAGTCAAGATGGTACTTTGAAGGTAACTGCACTCATGGTTAGTAATAATATTAAAGATGAGTCTGGTTGCTTGAATATCAAGAGCGTGAAGTTTCCCCTTTCAACTTATTTCTGTAAATTATAATTATGTACACATGTAATTTAATGACCTCTGTGTATTCAGTCTGAGTTATTGATCTTTGGTTTGTGACTGAAGAGTGTTAATATGAAAAAAAATTTAATGTGATTTATTGATTTTTTTCTTGCCAGGTTTACGGATAAATGGGCATTCAAAACACAGATCTGGACATGGTTATGAGTCAAGCTCAATGCTTAGTTCTGACTTGGAGACAACAAGTTTCGTGGAATCTGAAGATGATGCTTCAAGCAGAATTACTACTACCACTGGCAGAGCCACCAATCTTTCTGTTGATAGACAAACTCTAGGAACAGGTATTAAATTCATAATGGGTTTTATATGGGAAATGGTATGAGATCATAGTCATAATTTCCTAAAGGTTGGCTTATTTCTTCTTGCTGTGTTCATATTAGAGTTTGTTGATTGAATAAAAGTTTTCACTGGAGTTTGTAACTCCATGTTTTTATATCTGATAATCCATTCTGTTCTTACCACAGGACATTCTGACTTCATTCATCTAGAAATACTTTTGACATCCCAGTGTTCTTGTTCCTTTTATTTCTTATTTTAATGATGCAGTAGGAATTCTGTGTTTTTCAATCTTATACTGTAGAAACTAATATTCTTTTGTGTTCGTTTTAATGATTTATTTCACAGCACCATTAGTAGTTTGGAGTATAATGTTATATAATATAACATGTACGTATTACAGTTTTGATTTGACACGAAGGAATAATGAATTGGAAGTAGTTTGGAAGGAATTGGTCAAATGGCTTAATTGAAACACTGTCCTAGCATTTGTGTGGAAGGAGTGAGCAAAGCCATGAAAAAAATATCAATCTACTTAGCTAGTTTCCAGGCTGTGATATAAATCAAGGGCTTCCTGACTATGAAGTAGGAGTGCTATCACTTGTTTGCCATTTTTCAGAAACCTTTTTTCAGACTTTGTAATGCTTTTAAAAAACAGAAAGTGTTGTCTGAATATTTGTGTTTGAAAACTACACTAAAACTCACTCACAGTTGGAAGAATGGTTGAATCATTACACATTTTAAAGAGAAAAATGTAGCCCAAAATTTATTCATAAACAAATTTATTAGGGAATGCTCTAAAAAATAGTTACCTGTGTTTCAGTAGCTTTCTTTGTGATTTTATTATATTTGCATGAAGACCAAGTTGGTTATTTATGCTTCATATTTACTTAACGTGGTTTGTTATGAGAAGAAAGGAGAGCATATCTGAATTTAACATATTGCAAAATGAATTTCATGCTAGTTTAAGGGTTAATCTTCTTTGCCATGTTTTAACCCATTGTGGTCCTCTGTTGGACTGAGTCTGACATTGAAATATCTGAGTTCCAGTCCGATGTCAGACTGAGTTCGCCACGTGTTTTACGAATTTTATACATGATCCGGAGTCAAGATGAGGCTGGCAATAAGTGTCAGCATATTATTTAAGCCTTCTTCTGTGCACTAGTGCTATTCAAGTTTTCCTGGTAATACTTTGTGAATCTTATAATAGTGAAAGGAAGCAGGAGAGAAACATTGTTTTATTATGACACGTGTCCAAGAAAGCCAGGACTCCACCCTGAGTGTTTTGACATATACAGTGAGGAGATACCGTTAGGTCATATTCACTTACAATAGAAATATTTTATATCTGATAAAGTTATAAAACAAATATCATCTTCCTATTAGGAAGTTCTATTTTTTTAAAATTATTTTTGACGCATAGAGCAGTTCGTCACTGATATAGGCATATTCATTCATCTTCTTATCAAGCATTCTTTATGCATAGTGACTTCATCATTTACGCTTCGCGTTCTGTTTCATTTTTATGGTGTTGAACTTGGTCTTGAACTTACGCACACAAACAGCTTGAAAGGATGCATAGCTCTGAGATTATGATATCCAATGCTTATACACCAAATATCTGCATGCAATAAGAGATGTTTACATGTCTCCAAAGTAATATCAATCGACCTGGTTTTGCTTTATTCTCTACCGAAGGACAGCAAGCAGAAAGGCACTGTTTACTTTACATCTCACTAGCGACAATGATACAGTCTGTGAAAAATATTTCACACAGTCGGTATTTAAACAGAAGGAACTATGATCCTTTCAGAACATATTTTCACCATATTTAGCCAAGTTTCTTCTGCTTTATGCAAATTATAAAAGAAAATCAAATCAGTTGATAACAGTAGTTGAATTTACATAGCTTAGTGATATTTAAATAAACCAGCAGAGAGTTGTGTTTAAAAGGGACCACAAATGGTTAACTCTCTTTTGAGGTCATTTTTCAATACTGTAATAACCAACTTAAGAAGTTCTCCCTCAAGATTACTGTGTTAATTTAATGTTGGTTCTTTCTTTTCCTCACTGTGATTCATTAAGATTTTCATTCTGGCTGGTCAGTTTTGAAATATCTCAAAATTATTTTTACTGTCTGTATATCAAATACCCTTATTTTATGATACAAGTTAAATTCAATTTGTTGATAATTTTATATTGCTTTGTCTGCAGCAGATCATAGCAGTGTGTCACGGTTGCACTTATCTGGCCGTCGTCGCCCGCAGCGACGTCGTCGACATCGTATTCCACCTGCTATGTCCCGCACTTCTTCATTTTCTTCCATCACAGACTCAACCATGTCACTCAATATTATCACTGTTACACTCAACATGGATACTGTTAATTTCCTTGGCATCAGCATAGTTGGTCAAAGCAACAAGGGTGGTGATGGAGGTATCTATGTTGGATCCATCATGAAAGGGTAAATACTGCTGTTTATTTTCTTGGAAAGTATTGTTAATAATTTCCACATAACTTTTATTAGCTCCTTTCATCAAGTTGAAGTTGCCCTTAAATGTTCACTTGCATTTTTTTCAGAATTCCTTGTACAAAAGCGTGTCAGGAATGCAGAAACTAGTGAATCACCTTGATGCATGTATTATCTGTCTTGTATTCAGGATGTATGCAAATTGAATCCTGATCCTGGCCATCTAGAGTACTAGTGTAATACCTTATCAAGTGAAAATGCATTTGTGGATATACTGTGCATAAGAGCTTGGAAAAGAGCAAAGTGAGCTATAGTGGTCGCAGTAGTTTTAGGCTGGTGTAATATTCAAGGGGAAGGCTAGGAATGAGTCACTTGAATGATAGTATGTTTTGTCTGCCACCACTTCCCATCCACCCCTCCATGATAGAGGGTATAACTTGTTATTGCACTCTCATATGTAAATGAGAGGTGCACAGAATATTAAACCCTTTCTGAGTGTACAGTACATAAATAATCACCTGATGTACATCTCAAATAACAAGTTAGAAATAACAGTTAAACCCATGGTAAAGTTAATGTAAGAAATTTGATGGACCCTAGTGCCTGGTGATCATAATTAGTGGCCATACAGATATTGCATGGCTATGCATAAATTGCCTGCTACACAGTGACAGCATATACTAATATTATTGAAACATCATAGCATTAGATGTATACCAAACTGCACTAGTCAGTCACCATGTAACTGCACTATCTTCCCACGCATCTATGATGGCTGGCTAGCAAGGTCTGATGCCTGCCAGATGTATGGCTGAAGACTGGTGATGGTAAACAGAGTTATCAGTATAGCATTGCTAGACAGACAGACTTTACTAGCCAGCATTCATTACATGGATGGGTAGGTAGTGCAGTTAGATGGTGACTGGCTACTGCAATAATGCTTTGTTTTTATATGACTTTTCAGTATTATTAGTATGCACAACCACTTTGCAAGAGATGATGAAATTAAAGTACATTAATTTATCTGTAATCAGTTACCAGATCTAGTACAGTAGGGCCCCGCTTTTCGGCGCTCCGCTTTACGGCGATTCGCTAATACGGCGCTCAACAGCTGAGTCAGAGAAGTGCATCCGGCGCCATTTTATCGTCGCTGATTCAGTCTGTTTACAGCTTTTGTGCGCTCCGCGTCTCCGTATTTCTGGCAATTTTTCAAAGTTATTACAAACTGTATATTTATATAATATTTTTGTGTTACTACAGTGTAATTACAAAGACGTCTAAGGGTAGTAGCGATAAAAAGAGGAGTCGTAAGCCTCTTACTTTAAATGCCAAGTTAGA